GATAGGAAAAATAGCATCTCCTAAGGAAAAGAATGAAAACTCACTGCCTTCCCCTGATGACTGTCTAGGGTTGTAGCCTGTATAGCTGTTCTTCCTCCTGTTACAGTACTTGCATAGGAGTAATAGAGAGTTATGTAACTGTTCATTCACAGTCTGAAGTAAATGAGTCTGCATCTATCCTTCACTGACCATCTAAACAATGCACAGCACCTTCAATAATGTGGGTGGGTGTAATGGACTGACAACTGATGGTGAACTTATAGCCCCCAGCTGAAGTGAGTAAGCATGGTGCTGGGTATGGGAGGCCCACCTGGGGACTGCTGCCAGCAGCATAAGAGGCAGAATTGGAGAAGAAAGAAGGCTGTTGGGAGCTGATAGAAGCTGTTAGGAGCTGTTGGTTCTTTTGGAGGAGCTCATCATGCTGCCTTTCCTGATGAACTTGGCTGTTTTCATCCTCTGAGGAGCTCGGGGCCTTGCTTACACTGAAAATAGCTTTGGTTCACTTTGGGAGAGCTCTAGTCTTCACTTTGAGCAGCGCTTTCTGACACCAGAGGAGAAGATGGTGTACTGCCAGGCTCCTGGAGAAGCTTGGTGCATTGGCTTCCCTGATGGGAACTCAGTCATCTTGATCATTGGAGGAGCTCGGGACCTAACTGTTGCTGAGGATGGCTGTGGTACCTTTCAGGGGAGATCTGGTTCTTCTGAGTGTCATTTCCTGGCTCCAGTGCAGATCCCTCAGCCTGCTAGCACAGATCTTTCATCCTGCTGGCACAGACTTTCTAGATTCCACCACTGAGCTTTGGGCCTTCCCAGTGCAGATCCGTGAAATAGGCCTGCATGAGATATTATTATGGGCTCTGGCCCTCCAGCTAGATTCATGGGAGGCATTTTTATGGGCTCTAGGTCTGCAGCTAGCCTCATGTTGGACATTATCGCAGGATCCAGACCCTCAGCTGGATTCTTGGTCTATAGTGTGGACAGATTTCCTTCACACTCTTGTATATCATTCTTTGGATGACTATTACGAATAATCTTATAAAATATGTGTCCTGCATTATATTGTTTTCCCTTGCAAAAATAGTCCCAAACCACAACAGTGGAAGTTAAATACACTGATTAAGTGGCCACAGTTTCCATTTCCTTATTAGACATGGGTGGGTGAGTCAGGGACCAAATGACGTTCATCAATTTTGCTTGGACCAGCTTTGACTTCTCAATGTGCAATGAGGCAAATATTTTTGATATGGAGAGACTGAGTAGTTTCAAGGGAGACCTTAATATTTTGGAGTTTGAGTAGAGTGATATTAAATGGAAACCTAACCTAAAAATGTGTAATTATGGGACTAAATAAGGTACAATTCCGACTACAATTGCAAATACTACTCATTAAGTAATTTGAAATTTTTGCTTTAAATTTGTCATCATGAAGAAAAAAATAACCTCAAATGTTTCAAATTAGTCTCTGCTGGAAATTCCTGACTTTCCTTGTGTTTCCAGTAAGATCTGATTTTGAGATAATTTCTGGAAAATAAAGAAAAAAAGAATCTGGGTAGTTTCTAAAAGCAAGTAACATATACATAATTGTGTGAGAAAAGCTAAAACGTTTCATGGCTGATCAGCACAAAAAATGAATTGTAGGTTTTACTTTACAGATAACACCTGTATGTCTTAAATAATACATATGTACATTATTCATTTGAAGACTTTCATACAGTATAAAATTTCTAAGTATAAGAAAAACAAAAATCAATCTTTTCTAAAAATTAATTTTTACAACATTAAGTACAACAGTTTCTAAAGTACCTTGTATCCATCGTGATAGATTGTTGTGTAATATGTCCTATTCAAACAGCGGAGAAAATTACTGTGCTTTTTATCAGACATGTGGTAAATGTCTCTGAGGAAAAAAAGTCTGTATAATGTAGGTCTCAATAAAGTTTTCTTTGCAATTGTTCTTATCCCTTCTCCTATTATCTGACCTCTGGTCCACCCTCTATGGTCACCCATCCCCACAGTCTTGATGGAAATGTGTGTTACGATCAGTGTGCATGTGCACACATCCATGCTAATATGTGCTGTGTGTGTTGATAAGGGTGAGACTGTGTGTGCATAGGTGCAGCAAGATGCACATTCTGCCATTAAGAAACATTAGAGGAAGTGAAGAAGGAGGGAAATGGGTGGAGAAGAGGGGAAAAAGGTTGTTCAAGCCCAGGTTAACCCTTTAAAAGCAGGATTGATATCAAAGCTACAATAATAAATGCACTCCTTTGCTTAATACCAAAGTATTGCCTTTGCTTATGAAGCAAAGTCTTCTATGAACCAGAATTGGCAAAGCAAAGTGACACAGGAAGAAAAATGTCACTTACAGTTTATAAAGCATTCACAAGTGGCCCCAAGCAGGAGCTGACTGGGTCCCATTCACAGCCTCCCTGCATCCTGCTACTAAGGGAAAGGATACCAAGGAGGCTCCGAAAGCAGCAGTGCGTAGGGTAGGAATCTTGATGTGGGAAAGGAAAACAAAGTTGAGAGACTGTGACTCTTCTACATGGGAGGTACAGAGCAGGTGTTTGGCTGGAGGGGAATATTTTACTGTGAAATATTTCCTTACTCTTACCATTAAATCCCTAGTTTGGGGTGGGAGTGAGGAAATGACACTTTAGCAAATGGAAATTTGAGAAAATACTACTTTCAAGGATATAGAAAAACCATGAAGTGAAGCTGTACTGGAAATAGAGAGCTCAAAGCACCTGTAGGTGTTATTCTTTTGCTTTTTCCCCTCTCTGTATTTGTATTTTCCACCTACAATTCCAAGTACTATGTCTCTTGATAGAATTGGCTTTGTCTCTGAACCGTTGAGTTCAATGGTAACCACGGCTTAGCTTATTTATCTTCGGGAGCCTCCAGAGAACCCACGAAACCCTTCGCACATTGACACGTATTTGTTAGATGGAACAGATTCTAAGAGCTATTGTGGTTTGGGCTCTAAATGAGGAGTTGGGAGATTTAGGTTTCAGGAAAGTCAGCTACTAATTCACTTTTTCCTCCAAGGGCTCGTCAGCTGGGCCTGTAAATCTCAGTTTCTCACTGGTAGATAGACGTTGCCTTACAGGATAGCCTGGGTAATCTCCAGCTTCTAGCATTCTGGAGTAGACTTTCTTTCCTTAGGAAAATGTAAAAATTTTAAGTCAATTGAATCTTTGGTCACATATTCTACAAATGCAGTGGAAGTTTCTCATTAAATAAGCCCAAAAGCTGTTACTTTGAATAACAAAGTAATGATATAGCAATTAGCTCACCTGGACATGATTACTAATATATTTTGTCTTTCCATTGTAAAAGTAAAAACTTTAGCTACTTTCATCCAAGGCAGATTATTTCCTTGAACAGACAGACATTAATTTTTTTTCTGGAGTACAGCGGCTCATCCTAATGGACTGAGGTAACATTTTAAAAGAATTACCAAAAGAACTTTTTGCTGTACCCCAATAACCTTTAAAGACATATATATATACACACACACATATATATCCATGTAAGAATTTTCTCATTCTATTTATAAGCCCTAGTAACTCCTTTCCTGGTAAATCTGCAGTTATAATAAAAAATGAAACACTTGATATTCACATTTGGGGCTTTAGTGTTTCTAACTGTTCTTTAAGGTATTTCTAAACATCTGAGTTAGCTTCATGAGCACTGATGACATTCATTTATTAAATTTAAGGCCTTAAATTTCAGATACAGCATTCCTGTGCAGCATTTTTGAAAGAGAAGAAAATCTTCAATTAGAAGACAATTCTGGGGGGCAGGGATATTCTTAAATTCAAAATGTATCTGTCTGTGGATGAAAAGAACTATAATTAATAAATTTAAAGCACTGTCATCTGAAATGCCATCCAAATGACCCTTTGAGATAAACAATGGTGAAATAGTTAAGCTTATTGAATCAAAGTTGTTTTAGAGATGGTGTTTAGTGTCAAATGCTGGACATTTTTTCACTAGAACTGGCAGACTAAAGTTTGCTATAGGCACAAGGCCATGACCTCTAGGGTAAAAAAGTCAGCACAGGTTGAAGGCTCCAGGTGGAGAGGGATGTCTGGGGAAGCTCCATCCTCCTCCACCAGCTGGGAGGACTGGCCTTAGGCAGCTGACCACAGAGAGGCTGAAGGGTTAAAACTGAGAATTAACAGGCAACAGCTTTCAGCAACAGCAACTTCTTCCAAGATGCTGATGTAGTTCAGATTCCATCAGAGGCTATTGGGTGTTCCAGGGACCCCAGGGATCACTTAATTTATAAGTGAGAACCAGATGTTAGGACACATTGCACGTGCCTCACAGATGGCTGCAGGGGGTGCTCCTGGCAGAGGGCAATCTGCATCACTGCTGGTTTGGGAATTCCCTCCTGAGGTTTAACTCCACTATGAGGACCTGAAGCCAACCCTGGACCCTTACAATTCCCTCCCAGAGAAGTGCTCAGTTTGGGGACCACGGGGGAGTCCCTGCTGTCCTTGACATCAGAGAAGTTTTAAAACATGGAAAGTTGGTAATTATTCTAGGTGTTTTACATCGGTGCAGCCCTTGGCCTCAGGAATGGCTGGGAAGGGAGGAGCTCCAGCCCTAAAGTAGATCTTTTAACCACTACCTAGAAACAGTTAGAAAGTCATGGATTTTTCCTTCTACCTTGTTAGAATTGATAATTAGGGGAAACAAAGAGAACGGAGTAAGAAGTAGTAGTGGCAATGCCACCCGCATACTGATAAGCACCAATCTTCCTCCTCTCATATTTCTGAGAATGATAGTAGCTCAAGGCTATGGGAATGAAAGGTTATTTTAGGAGACACAGTGGCGACATACGTGTGTATTTCTCATTTAGCTATTATTTAAGCAGGAAGAAAAAATGTGAGCACAACATTTTTAAATCTTTCAGGGGGTAAAAAAATAATTGAGCCAAGGTCCCTTCAAGAGTTAATTCTTTCTCGTCTTTCTAAAGCAAAGGAAGTTCCAGGGGTTGGGATTAAGTGACAGATTGTGGACACTGGAAAGACTCGCTTAAGGGAGGGGGAGGCTGCCCTCGCACACAAAGCCGCAAAGCTCCCAAGCCGCAGGCCAACCTGCCCGGGCACCGCCGCGCTCAGGGCGCAGCGACGCGCCAGGAAGCGTCCGCGGCTGTCCCGCTGCCCCGCCGCTCTGCTGGTGGCCGGGAGAAGTTAGTCACCCGGAGCCCGAAGTCGGCTAGCGGCTAGCGGAGGAGCTCAAAAAGACTGGGGAATGAGGACGCAGGAAACCGGGTGTCCGGAGGGCTGGGAAGAAGTAAAAGGAGTGCGGGGGCCGGGGCCGCCCTGGAAACGGACAGCCCTGGCTAGTGGATGGAGCTGGGAGATCTGAGAAGCCAGAGCGCACCAGCCAGCAAAAGGGAAAAAAAGAAAGAAAGAAAGAAAGAAAAAAGCTTGGAGCAGAAACTTCCTACCAAGGGCAAGAAAAGCAAGCGAGAAGGAGGCAGGGAGAGACCCAAAATGTCTCAATAACTAAAAACACACCAAAACATCCCTTCAGGAGATGAGGTAAGCCGAGGTTAGCCGACGCCGATTGGTTGTGAAATATCACACAGACCCGGACTCGCTGAGGAAATTTTGTTTTTCTTGCCCAGATACTTTTCCCCTCCTCGCCCTAGCTCCCTCCTTTGTCCCTCTTTCCCCGGCATCAGGTCCCGGTCCCTTCCTCCCTCTCCGTCTGGCTTTCCTCGATCGCCCTCCTCCTTCCCTTCGCCTCCCCCCTCTGATTAGGCGCGGACGGGGAAGGGTGGGAGCGGTGGGGGAAGCTCTCCCTTTAAGAGGCAGCGTGCAGTGACGAATTGTTGAAATTGCCATTGCAGGATGGCATGCCGCTATAAATTCATTGTTCCACCTCCTCGCATCTTCACAGCGCTCGCGCTGCTCTCGGCACTCGCAGCGGCGGACTGGGGATGACCGCGGGCAGGAGGACGCCGCCGCCGGAGGGACACGGACCGACGCGCCCCTTCCCCGGCTCGCCGCAGGCCACCCCCTGCGCTTTCGCTTTAATTTTTATGGCCTTTTCCCGTTTCTTCCTTCCTTTCCTCCTGCTTCCAGCAGAGCCAAGGAAATCCACAAAATAAGGAAGGAAGTGGCCCCAGGGCTTGGAACCTCCGCAGCCGGCCAGTGGCCGAGCCGGGGCCGCAGGCGGTGCGCACTAGTTGCCGGCCGGGTGCGCTATTCCTTCTCTACTTTTTGGGTGCAGGATTGCGGCTGCATTTCGCTTCTCTTCTTTTCCTGTTTTTGCTGATTCTCCACTACCGGGCATTTGTCATTCTTTACCTCCCCACCCCCGCCTCTTTCTTTTTTTCTGTCCTTTTTCTGTTTCTTTTTCTTTTTTCCATTTCCCCTCTTTCTGGACCACAAATCCAAACATTTTCCAAACCAACAAAGAAAAGTTCGCACGCTGGCATCGAGACCCACAGGCTGGCGCGGCTGCGGTCCCCCCTCCCTCTCCCGCCGACACTTGACTCAACCTCCAAGCGAGCGTGTGGATGCCCCCTCTCCGCCCCGGCAACTTCCCTAGCGAATAACAAATTCCCATAAAGTCTGGGTGGCGCAGCCCCTCCCCGCGGGCCGCGCACTATGCTGCTCGGGTGGGCGTCCCTGCTGCTGTGCGCGCTCCGCCTGCCCCAGGCCGCCGCACCTGCCCAGGATAAAGCCGGGCCGCCTCGGGCTGCGGCAGCGGCCGCCCAGCCCCGCCGGCCGCAGGGGGAGGAGGCGCGCTCGCGGGTCGAGCCTCCGGGGCACCCGCACGCCCTGGCGCCCCAGCGCAGAGCCCGGGGGCTCGTGCAGAGCATCGACCAGCTCTATTCTGGCGGCGGCAAGGTGGGCTACCTCCTCTACGCGGGCGGCCGAAGATTCCTCTTAGACTTGGAGAGGGATGGCTCGGTGGGAGCTGCCGGCTTCGCGCCCGCGGGAGGCGGGCTGAGCGCACCTCGGCGCCACCGAGGCCACTGCTTCTACCGGGGTACGGTGGACGGCAGCCCTCGCTCCCTGGCTGTCTTTGACCTCTGCGGGGGGCTCCACGGCTTCTTCGCGGTCAAGCACGCGCGTTACACCATAAAGCCGCTACCGCGCGGGCCGTGGGCCGAGGCAGAGACCGCGCGCGTGTACGGGGATGGGTCTGCGCGGATCCCGCATGTCTACACCCGCGAGGGCTTCAGTTTCGAGGCCGTACCGCCACGCGCCAGCTGCGAGACCCCCGCGTCCACGCCTGGGCCGCACGAGCGCCCCCCTGCGCACAACAGTCCAGGGCGACACGCCGCGCTGGCCCCGCAGCTCCCAGACCGGTCAGCTCTTTCTCCCGCTGGGGACCCAGGACCGCAGACTTGGTGGCGGCGGCGGCGCCGCTCCATCTCCCGGGCTCGCCAGGTGGAGCTGCTGCTAGTGGCTGATGCGTCCATGGCGAGGATGTACGGCCGAGGCCTGCAGCATTACCTGCTGACCCTGGCTTCCATTGCCAACCGGCTGTACAGCCACGCCAGCATCGAGAACCACATCCGCCTGGCTGTGGTGAAGGTGGTGGTGTTGGGAGAAAAGGACAGGAGCCTGGAGGTGAGCAAGAACGCGGCTACCACGCTCAAGAACTTTTGCAAATGGCAGCACCAGCACAACCAGCTGGGAGATGACCATGACGAGCACTACGATGCTGCCATCCTGTTCACCCGGGAGGTAGGTGCAGCCAGGTGGGCACAGCGGGCTTGGGGTAGGAGGCAGGTAGAAGGAACTGTCTTGCTGATGCCTTTGCTTCTCACACGAACCACCTGCCACTCTGGATTCTTTAGCCTGTCTCTGTTTCTCTGCTTTAACCTCGGTAGCAGTTTCTGCCTGGGTGACTACACCTCCTTAGGCAATCAGCAGTCAGGGATTCTGCGTGTCATCCCGTCAGAGAGAGGGTAGCACAGGCGCTTAAACTTGATAAGAAGGCACCAGAATGCTGGGAATGTAGGTAAATAGGGAAACGGGAAAGCAAGATTGCCTTTGGATCCATCAGTCTCTTACTTTCCAGTGAATCCAAAAGTAGGACTCTGTCCAACCTGAGAGAAAGAGCTTGGGGGTTCATCTGTGGTAGTCACTTTTATCTCATGACTTTCCCTTGTAAATAACCCCATGTGAACCCCTTCTGCAGCACCAGTGAAGGGAAGACTTTCCAAATGACTCCTCCTATCTGGCTGTCTCCTGGAGTTCTTACACATCCACCTTGGAATCCGGGTTCCTGGGAAGGAAGGAATGTGGGAGGGCCCAAAGGAAATAGACGCCCAATCAGCTGAAGGGACAAACTTGGGAGGCTCCTTCGCAAATCCTTCCCTAGTCAGTCAGTGCATCACAAGCACTGCCCTGGCCAACTCAGCTGCCAAAGGAGGGCTGACTCCAATTCACAGGTTTGGGTTTTGGATGAATATGATTCTGTAGCTCCGGTTCAGAGTATCTGGGCAAACAGTCAAGACCTGAAGAAGGAATGTTTTCCCAGGATTTCCCCATTTTAAAGAAGATGATTACAGGAAAGGAAAGCAGTGGATCTTTATAGACCAGTGAGTCTGGGAGAAAAGCAATGTCTATTTTCACAGTTACTGGACCACCAAGTTAGTGTGACATCGAGGCAAAGTCCAGATTGATTTGGGGCCCGGCTTGCCAGTGGTTCTGAGCCTCAGTTTCACAACTTTGCTTTGACTGCAGTTTTAAACTGTGTCTCTCAAATGCCTGGGAAGAGTCAGCTTCTAAAACTTACCCTTGAGGTGTTTGCAATCCACCCAGAGTAGATGAAGGATTATAAACATTGAAGTATTATGTAAAGATATGACCCGAAACAAACAGTAAGAATAGGAAATGAACAATGCATTGCAGGAGACTTCAAAATCACACAGCTTCACTACTAATTTTTCTATATTTTTAAGGTGCCCATGGTGTGAAGGAAACGTGTTGATAAATTTGGAGTAGAGAAACACTTGTGGTTCCTGGGGTTGACATAAGTGTAAACCACATGTAAACAAAGAGACTAGAGGGGCAGCCCTTTAGGGGAAACTGGGCAGTGCACAGGGCAGTGCACAATGGAAAATCTTTCTCCTCATTAAGTGATATTCTGGAAGCCATCCTTTAGTTCCTCTGCACAGTATTAGTCTTTGAAATGGTAGAACATTCAGTTTGTAGCTTGTCCTGTGAAGTTCTCCGGTAAAACTATCCCTTTCTTCTTTGACTTCCAAGTCTTTTTTTTTTTTTTTTTCATAAGCAACTTTCCATGTCTGGGTTTCCTTGCTTTGCTAACATCATAAGAGCCTGCCAAGAAGGAGGCTTTGGTGAGTTTATGGAATGAGGCTCCCTAAAGAGAGAGGAAAAAATACTTTTGTAGTTATATCACTCCAAAGACTAGGTCATTTTAATAATTTGCTTTAAGTTTTGAATGAAAATTTATATTCTTTATACTTCTAAAAGAAGTAAAAATGAAGAAGGCCCATAATTCATTGCCCTCTGATCCTAATTTTCTTAATTGTAAAAAACAGAATAGGTAAGGATTCTAAATGGTGTCTTTTGCTTTTTCGGGGTTTGTTTTTTGCTTGGGTAGTTAGCAATTCCTCTTACTCAAACTGTGAAATTTACCAGCACACTGTAAATTGGTGGAAGCAAAGGAGAAATTGAGTGTATCTTAATTCTAATAATTTTGGTAATAAAATACTTTTTTCAACCTAATCTGTGCATGGAAAATATTTTACATGGTTCCTTTCTGGCATCTTTGCCAGACAGAAGTATAGTTTAGGTATAGCAATCTCACTGAGTTTGGGGTTGGCCCTCTAGTGTAGAAATCTAATTTTATGAAAAGTGAATATTTGAAAAACACTGATATTATGAATATATGCATCTAATTTAAAGATATTTCAATACCCTTAGGCAGCATTCATTTGTAAAGTTAATCTCCTAATACTTAAGAAAGTGAAAATCAGGAAGGCTGGAGGAGACATTATCTGAGTTCTTCAATCTCAAGGAAATCAGATATCTTAAGGCTTAACGAAAATTTTCATAGCTATTTCTTTTCAATGAAAAATACCCGGAGTTGGCACCAGGACTCTACTTTTACTACTCTGTTTTGGATGTAAGAATTGCGTTGCTTAGCAGCCAGACGCTAAGCCATCAAATCCATGTTTTGATGGGCTCTGAGTCCTGTTCAAATTTTGTGTCCAGATGTCTTCTCCTAAATTGCTTGTTTTTCAGCCATGAAGCAAATGTGTGAGGATATGTTTTCCACCCCTGTTTACTATCCCAGGCCACCTTGAACTATGTATCTGGGAGCCAGCAAATAGTGTTAAAAACTCACCCATCAAGCGAGTCCACTTCCCTGTCAGGACTGTACCTCAGCATTCTTGTTCTGTTCTAATTAGAGAAACTTAGCAGCCCTCGTTTTTCTGGCAGAGGAACCCTTTTCACCGTGGAATGGCACTTATGCTGGAATTCACACCGTTCATGCCATGAAACAGTAGAAATCCAGTCTCCCCATGGTTTATTTTTGCTTTCCAGAGGCCTTTTCTTGTTTTTGACTTTCTCCTTAAATCTGTTTGCAGACTGGTCAATCTTCCTAAGAAACAAAAACCTGGTTGATAACAAAATTGGAAACTGTTTATCATCTTCCTGCAAACCAAAGAAAGCTTTATACTTTCAAGCATTGAAAGCATTATTTTGAATTGAACCACCTAAGTGCCTGTGTAATATAAAAGTTTCATTCACTTTTATGAGCCATCAGTGTGCCCTTTAGTAGGCTGTTGTCTCCCAGCTAAAACCTCTCTTCTCCTACTCTGCCTTTGGGGCTGGAGTTTAAGACATTTCTTCTTTTATTTTTTTTTGGTTTTTCTCCGGTACTGGGAACCGAACTCACGACCTTGCGCTTGCCAGGCAGGCGCTTTGCCGCTGAGCTAAATCCCCAGCCCCAAGACATTTCTTCTTTACTTTCTGATTTCTTGGGTCCTGACAATAGGGGGCACTCAAGCAAGATTAGAAGCTTGGAAGACAGAGATGTGTTTCAGATAAAAGCCTAAAAATACCTCAGAAACAGATCCTAGCGAATTGAGGAACTCTCGTTGACATGTTTTTTTAAAGAAGATGAGAAAGAGTCTGAAAAACCTAGCCTATGAGAGGTGATAGACCACAATGCACAAGACCTATTACACTTTCGTGTTTCTCACATTTGACAGATAGCTAGGGACACCGCCTATGTGTGAGACACTCATTTAGGCAGCTGAAGGTAGCAAAGTGGAAAATACCTGGTCCTATCCACCAGGCTTAGCAGGAGCACAGAGGAGCCAGGTACAGGCAAGGGTCATTCCAGTATAGGAAAACTGACAAATGCTGTAATTCTGCATAGAGAGTGCCCGAGAAAGGAAAAAGAAGAGAACACTTTTATCTGTGATCTTCACACAGGTCTGGTTGCAAAGGGAGAACTGAATTTATCCTCGAAGAATGGACAGATCTGATTTAGATTCAACCACCTGTTACTAAGCATTCTTATCATGCTCTCCATGGACATAAACCATTTTTATAATTGTTCCTTTCAACTGTCTGCAACTGCTGTATTGTTTTTTAAAATTGACAGATGAGGAATTTGTGTGCAGAGGACCAGAGATAATCATAAAGTGATATCTTACAAATGGCAGAGAGAGAAGGTAGTCCTGGTTAGTGCTCTCTTCATTAAAATTAACTAATTTCTTCAAACATTCAAGATGTCCTAGGCACCCAGGGAGTCAGAGGTTTAAAACTGGCACCTTCTTTAAGAATCTCTTCCAGGAAATAGACAAAGAAGTGAGTTACTTTGGTGTAGCATGATGATGTTTATGATACATAGGTGTGATTGTCAGACATGATAGAAGAACAAGGCGTTAGCCTGACCACAGGAGGTAGGCACCAGAGACACACCAGGGCAAGATGTGAAATCATGATGATTCTGTGAAATATAGGAGGTTAATGGTGATACAACAGGAAAAGCAAGGGTGGTCTGGTAATGAATTTTGGAGAAGACGTTAATAACCAGATTACAGAAGAAATGGCACATCGTGTGGGTACGTCATAGGATGGGTGACCCTGAGAGAAAAATTTTTTCATTTAGCCCCAGAGAATTTTTTCATTTAGCCCCAGAGAATGAAAAGCTGAAGATCAAAGTTCTATCTCATTCATTTTCTAGTGAGGCCTCTCTTCCTGGCTCTTTCCCTTTTTCCTGATTATTTTTGCTGTTGCTTCATACAGCCTTTCATGTATGTGTGCACTCAATGTAAGAAGGGAAGGACAGAGCGAGAGAGACAGAGAGAGAAACAGAGAGAGAGGAAGTCCAGAAAGCAACTCTAGTCACCAAGCCTATCTGATCTGGGCTCCATGATATTATCTCATTTAACCTTATTTACTCTCTCAAAGATCCTGTCTCCAAATATGGTCACCTTAGGGGTTAGGGATTCAGTTTAGCAATTTAGAAAAACACTGTTCAGGCTATAACATGGTGCTAAGAAATTATCATTGTAGGGGGCTAGGGATTTAGCTCAGCGGCAAAGTGCCTGCCTGGCAAGTGCAAGGTTGTGAGTTCAGTTCCCCGTACCGGAGAAAAACCAAAAAAAAAAAGAAATTGTCATTGTAAACTGAGCACAGTGGGAAAGTATGGCAAGGATCAGAAGTGCATTCCCAACGAACTTCTGGCCTGAATC